ATCGATAGGTGCACTGTCAGCTGTAAGGGAGGGGAAGGTGAGGGCTACGAGACATGCTATAGGATGCGACAGGAGGAGGCTCAGACGTGGATGCAGTGCGAAACGCGCCTTGTACGATGCGCTGACGCCATCCGGATGCACTACAAGGTGTACGGCACAACACCTCCCAAACCGTCTTCGTTCGGTTTCGACAGGGCTCACAAGACTCACGGGATAGCAAGACATCTTGTTGCCGTCGCCCGAGACTGGTTCATTATCTGGATGGGGTTCCTGTCATACCTCATTGCCCAGTCTTGCACAAACCCGTTTAATTGGCCCGATTGCAAACAGAAGGACTGGGGCCAGAAAGGGGCGCTCCCCAAGTGGTACATGGTGCTCCGACAGGAAGGATTCCCGGAGGACTGGCTCAGTGGCCTCTTGACATCGGACGTGTGCGATTTTTCTCGACGAACACCCCGCACAGGCATTGTGGTCGACTGGACATGTGAGGACAAGACACGGCCCGACTTGCAGTGGCTGAACGAGTTGAATATCCCACTATGGTTTCCGTGGACAGTCAAGGAAGACGATGCAATCACTCGGGATCCAACAAAGGCGTACTTGAAGCCACCAGCCGATCTCATAAGAAGCACCCTTAAGTGTACCTTTGCCAATCCCAATTTGCCGCTGGCCTCGATAGTGATGCAGCGGTTCCTGCGTGTCAACTTTGTCACGGAAGAACTCGATAAGGCTGCCGTGCAAGTCCTCAAATTATGATGCACAAGCTCCGCCGTCTTCGACTTCGTGATGGATATGCATGCAAAAGATATTGAGAATTCGAATGATGTCAATACAAACGACGCCTCAGACCAAGCAGTGCTATCTAAGGGCTTGCGAGAGATTGTGGATGCTGCCCGGGAGCGGCAGCGACTTGAGGCGAGCGACGCTGCCTCACTCCCATTCCAAACTATGATCAATAGGGACGACAGCACTAGTGGCGACCTTTGTGGGGACTGGCAGCACTTTCTGGATCAAAGAGCTGCACGCCAGACGGAGCTGATTGAACACGGAGGCCGAAACTTTCGAAACTGGATCAAACAACGCGAGGAAAACCCGCCCAGGCGGAACACCAACATATTCACATGGAGTAGGATCGTTTCATCTGGAGGGAAGGAGATTTTCATGCGGACACGCGTTGAAAAAAGACGACACGACAATGTCTTCAACGAGTACACCCCCGCTCAATGTCGATACAATGCTCTCGAGAATGAATGGGACCTGTTTGAGGAATTTGCACTGGAAGTCAAGTCGAAGAATGGTCAGGATTATGCGGGCTATGAGCATTCAGACAGTGAGGATGATGGCTTTGATCCTTTTGAAGGCTACGAGCACCTTTATGTCAGTGAAGACCAGAACGTCTCACCAACCTCTCCAGACGAGGCAACCCCTTC